ATTAATAATAGCAATAATAATAATAGCAATAATAGCAATAATAATAATAATAATAATAATAATAATAATAATAATAATAATAATATATTATTATTATTATTATTATTATTAATCTTACGGTTCCTTTTTTTTTTTTTTTTTTACTAAACACTTTGTGGATATTAGACCCTTTATAAGTATTTTTGATTTATTATTATAATACATTTATAATGCAAAATCTATAGATAACATACACATTAATCACACATATGGTCAAATATAACAGAGAAAAAAAAGTAAAAAATATGACGTACATGACAACATACATCATTTATGACATGTTTGTCATAACATCTTTGTTATTTACGAGCACATTATTTTGGCATATGAGAGCTATAAACATACACATTGACGTAAAAGTGAAAATGATCAAATCCTCTATAAAGGACAACGACGAAAATATCCACACTGACGTAAAAAAATGAAAGTTATGAGATGGTCACAACACACTACAAGCAGACAAAGAATAACATTGATATATATGCTACTATATATAGCATGCCATTATATGGTTGAGTTAGGCACACAAGCTAATAAACCAGAAACACAAACAAGTAAGAAACAGATCAACAACAGATGAAATTAAAGCCATACATAAACTACAGAAACTATAAATAGATTTTCAAAAGTTGTCCATTAGGTAAATGGTGATTACGGTAATTGATTCAACTATTGCATACTGTTTCATGTACAAGAATCTTAATACTTTGTTTCTAAACATCATAAATAGTCTGTATTGGTTCAAACATACAGTAATAACAAAATATAAACATATCATAATTGTTTAAATGAACTTTAAATGACTGCAGATTGGGAGGGGACAGATTGTATGGGGGGGGGGGGCAGTCTTCATAGTGAGGCAACCCCTTATGGTAGAATAACCCCATAGTGGGACAGACCCATAGTACAGGTAGGGTAGCCCTAAACATTGTAGTGTAATATCATCATACCTTTTGGTGTACTTGTTCCCTCTTTAACCTTCATTCAAAAATTGTATACAGTAGAACCCCTATTAAGGGACATCTTTGGGACCCAAAAGAAGTGTCCCCTTAATAGGAGTACCCCTATTCAGGGAACACTGACCAAAAATTTGAAAATGTCCCCTTAAGAAGGATTTTTGGCATGGTTTTGTACAATGATGATACAATTCTTTGTAATTATATTTTACTTGGCCTAAGAATGAGTTAGAGTTGTATTATCCTTATAACAATAATAATCCAAATATTCTTTTTTTAATCTGAGCTTTCCATTAGATGTACAAGATAGAATAGCATATATAGAGTAACAACTTATTCAGGGTGCAGGCTGTAAGACTAAACAAGAAATCCCTATGAATCCCTATGACTAATGGTCAAAATGAAAAGACTATATTATACTAAGTACAGAAACACATCTAGACCTACCAATGTCCATTCTAGATATTGAGATGAAAAATTCTAGTTTTATGATTAGGTTTTACGGCTCAAAAGGTGTCAAAATATAAATTTGAATTAATTTTTACACTACTGTAGATTTTTTGATAAAATAAAAAAAAGTGTCCCCCAATAGAAGTTAAAATTTTACCATTTGGCATACTCAGAAAGTGTCCCTGTTCCCTTAATAGGGGTGTCCCCTTAATAGGGGTTGGCCGTAGTGGTAAAAGATATTTCCCCTCATTTCACAGAGTGCCCCTTGATAGCGGCATCCCCTGAGTAGGGATGAACTAAAAGCAGGAGTTCTACTGCATTAATCAATCAAAATCTATTTACGAAATAGGCCTACATAAAATATAATATAAAAGCTTGTTCACCAATAGTGTTCTTCCACAAGCTTGTAATCTTGCCCCTTGAATGAGATGTGAAGTTGTTGGTCCCAGCGCATACATTATGAACCTTAGGCAAGAGAAAGTTCATGCAAATTCGGAAGAGAGTACGGCACTTTACTTTAAGAAGAGCAGAGGCTATTAAAAACTGAACAATTAATTTTTCCAGCTGATGCTTATTAAGATACTGATCTTATTAAGAGCAAGCTGAAATTGATTTAGGCCTACGGTACGTACCACACGGAGTGGTATTATTTAATTAATAGAGGGCCTGTTTCTGCTACAACACTATTGATTATTCTAATAGTTTTTCTGGCAGTCTGTCCGCATTGCTACGGCATTTTTGCGTTGACCACCTATTGCAGTGGAAACTACGTCATTATTATTTCCCCCAAACAGTAAATACTAAAAAAAATAGTATTTATTCGAATAAATGCATCCTGTATGGTATTTTTCAACTAGTAATTGCTATTTTTTAAAGTGTACAGCAATAATCGGTTATTTGTCATGGAAACACGTAATCCATTCAGTGTTTTTAATAATTTTTTTTTAATCGATTTCCTCAAACTTGTCCTGTTTCTACTGGCAGAATAATCAGTTACAGTATTTTAAAAAGCGATTATAAGTCAATTATTTCTTGCCAACAGAAACAGGCCCTCGTTCATATAAAAAAGAAGTTCTGTATTGCATAACAGGAAGCTAATATATTAATCTCTGTAGTGTATCACTCTAGTTTTCAAAAGCATTATGTACTCTTTATGAGATGTTTTGTCCTTGTGAATTACCAACAGAACAGAGGATTTTTCTAGTTTCTGTAATTATGACCCTCATAATCATAAATTTCTATATTTTTGGATGTTATTAGTGTGTTTTTTTTCTTGTTTTTTTTATCTTTGTTTCAACTATTGTCTAAATAACTTACACATTTAAGTATTTTTAGGTTTGTAATAATTATAAAAAAATAATAATTGCCAATTTTATACTATTATTTTTTTTAATAAAATGTCCTGAGGTCAAATTGTTTCTTGTATAAAATTTTCTTTATATTTTGTCTCGTATATTATTAATTGATATTTTTGGTTTTATTTTAATAAATTTCGGTGTTTTTAATTGCTTTTATTAAATCAATTATTTTGAACTTGTCCTTATTCTACTGGTAGAATAATTGGTTATTTCAAAAAGCGATTATTAATCAATTAAGTCAATTATTTCTTGCCAGCAGAAACAGTCCCTCGTCCATATAGTAAAGCAGTTCTGTATTGCATAACTCCCATATATTAATCACTACAATATCACTCTAGTTTTCTTAAGCATTATGTACTGTTTATGAGATGTTTTATCCTTTAAATTAGTTTCTGTAAGTCCTCATCACAAACGTTAATACACAGTGGCATTTTCAAGGGTCGGGGGAGGGGGGGGGAGACAGCAAAAACACTCCCTCCCCTAAATTTAAACAAATTACAAAAAGAATGGAGAAAAATAGTCTTCAAGTGTGCCACTTCCAGTCATCTACAGTAAAGGTTCAGTAAGTTCATAAATTTATTTATTTTGATGTGTTTGATGTTTTTCCCTGTTTTAATTTTACCTTTGTTTCAAATATTGACTAAAGTTATAAATCCTTTAACTTACACATTTGACTATTTTTAAGTTTGTAATAATTATAATCTGTAATAATAATAAATAAGTGCCATTTAATCATAAATTTATTTATTTTCATGGTTTTTTTTCTTGTTTCTTTTATCTTTGTTTCAAATATTGATAATAATATATAAATCCTGTACTTTTAACACACTTAACTATTTTTAGGTATCTGTAATAATAATATTAAAAAAGAATAACTTTAAATTAAAAACTGACAATACTATTATTTTATTCTAAATGTTCTTAATTAAAATAGTTTCTTAAATATAAAAATTTCTTTATAATTTGTCTTGTATATTGTTAATTGACATTTTTTGGTTTATTTTAATTGACTTTTCAGTACTGTAAATTTTTTACAATATCCTTTACTGTATGATATTGATTGCAATAAAGATGAATTTAATTGAATAAATAATTATATTTCACATCTTTGTAGTGAATTATGGCCGCTAATTATCAGAGGTCAAGGTGCCAAGCCTATTATCACGTTTCATAATGTGTTTAATAAAATGATACAAATACATATGGTAAGCTTATGCACAGAAATGAAATTTAAAAGTTACATAACTGTGAAGAAAACTCTAAGGTTGAAAATGTAGATCACAAACATTGCTAGTCCATTTCTGTCAAGGTTTTGCAACGATTATTTCCTCCATTTACCTGTTTTGGTAGTTAAATTTGCTGTTTTAGTAGTTTGTGTACAGTGTTTACTCCCACTCAGGCCTTATTTAGTAAGGTGTTATCACAAATAATAAAATAAACAGGAACAATAATGTTGGGTCACCGAACGTAACACATTTCCATATGACAATGATCACTGGATACACATCACTGACGAAGAATGAAGTAAAAGAAGCTACCGTCGCACACGTATTGAAACAAGTGGTGATTCAAACTAACAGTTTCTTTTGAAGCTTAATAATAAAAATACTTCTGATAAAGGAATTTGGTGTAAATACTCCCAAGTATTTTGCAAATCAATTACCAAATGGATAATATTATAGAGCCACACTTTAGTAGAAGTATATAAATTAGGTCACTGGGGACCTGTAGTCTACCGCCATGGTTGTACCAACAGCACTCGATCAGTTTCAGCAGCAAACAATTTTTTTACTAATCTGTAATAGTCTACTAATTTCATTTTTGTACACATCTGCTATTATTAGTGCACACAGACCCAACAACTTAACATCCCACCCAAAGAGCAAGCTACTGTAATTAGAGAAAATTGTCTTACACAAGGACAACATTAGCAAGTATCAAATTTGGTCCCTTACATACCAAAAGTCCAATTCAAAACTACTGCAGTGCTAACTTTCTTTCTCAAGTAACACAGGTCTAACGGCTTAAGTGTCCAATTGAAAGTGAGCTGGAACAAAGTAAATTACCAAAGGACACTAACAAGAAAGCAACGGCAGGTTCGAACTTGGTCGATCTTGCACCGAACTCCTTACCGGCTTACTCGCCCACTAGAACACGTCCAAAAAACAAACCAATATTGTTGTTATTATTGACTCACCTTTTTATCACTAGAAACAAGAGAATCAAGCGACTTTTGTTTCCTATCATCCTTGGGCGTCAACCTTTTGGCTATCAAGGGTTGTGGGGCCGCTGGACTCGACAAACGGCGCTTATATAACCAATCGTTATTATGCCATGGCTTTTTCAGTTTCTCCTCAAACATTTTGAATGTGTCCTCTTCCTCCTCGGATAATTCCTGACCAATTGAGTTGACCGGTACCGACTGCCGCCGGGCAAACATTTTCCGACTCATAACGATTTTCTTCAAATGAAAATATTTACATTGGAAGTTTCCAGAACATTTAAATACACAAGAACTAACGACAGAAGTTTCCTCGTTGTTTGCAGAGTATTGTTGAAGTTGTTATTTGCCAACTGAAACTGGTGTGCTCCACTTGATATAACCTGCTTGCTTTATATTCAACTTGTTAATAAATCAAAAAAAATTTTTCATGGGTTCATACTTTTGTAACAGTAAACCCATCAAACTGGTCATCATCGAAACCAAATGAAGGTATTCTCCCAAAACTAATAAAGTTTTGAAAGTCTTCTTTGATATGAAACCATGATAAATAAAATTAAATTATCCCGAGTGATCTTATTTGAAAGATAGGAACACCATTCAGCATAAAAACTGAAACATAAAATCTGTTCAGATATTTACACTGCACAGATGATACATGTTTTACTGCATCTCACAGTACATATGAAATCTGATAAAGGTCATATTATTTCACTAACAAGTGTCCTATAAATCAGTAGTGAACTTGTACAAAATGTTGACTTGACCAAAGAAATAAAACAATCATCAAACAGTTGCTGAAAAGAGTCTCCAAAATGCGATCATCAAAAAGGAAACAGGTATAAAACAATATCAGATGAATAATTCCAATGAGAAAATATATTCTCCTCACAATGGTATTAAATTCTCCTCGCATTAAAGTTAATTTCGAAGCTTAATAAACACATTAAACCCTTATTAAAAAACTCCAGTGTTTAGTCCTCAACAAGCAAAACCAGATTATGGAAACTCGACTCATTGGTAATCTCTTCACAGAAGGTAGTAACCATTCACAGCTGCTGTACTAAATATTTAAAGTAGAGCCATGAATAATTCATGAAGATAATCCTCTCAATGATCGACCAGCCAATTGTTATGTTCCTGTAGTGTTTAATAACAAGCATATTATGTGATATCAAACTTAAGAAAAATATTTGCTTTGAATTTCAATTTCAGAGATTTTCAGAATTGTTTAGGGTTTTTTTTTTTCATAAACAATGGAAATTGTGGTTATTCCTACTTCAATATTCAAAATTCAATTCAAAAGCATTTTAGCTATTAACAAGCTGAAGGCCAAACGCTGTACTCTACAATTAATAACAAGAAGTTTAATTATGATTTTTGCTTTGATAAAAGGTCTTGAAATTGTATTCAATTAAAACTGTAAATTGAAATATTAACAAAACACTCACATTCTCTTATAAGGGTTTGGGCTATAGTGTTAGAAGATTTCAATCATTTTGCAGTCAAAAAATGTTCCCTATAGGGGCGTCCCAAATGAAGGGTTTTATTGTATTCAATAATGGCGCCAGAAATTTGTTGAAGGAGGAGTCCAAACCAAAGGGCCTACGAAGCCTCAGTCGATGGCCACTGGTGCACCACTAATTGTATTATGTCACAGCTTTCAACATGTAAGGTGCATTCACACTGAATCTAAATTTTGACTATCAAAGCAATCAAAAAATCGAATGAGTGTGTAAGAATAGGGACGCTGGCATTCATCACTTCGTAAACGTGGTCCGAATTTTGGTTTTGATCCAATGAAAATGCAGCTTATTCAGCTTGAACTGATTTTTTATTCCTATTTTTTTACTATTTGTTCCCCTTCATTTTACAATTTAAATTCTTAGTTTTAATAAAGTTAGTATAGAAATGGGGGAAAGTTGGAGGTTTGGAGAAGATGGTGAGAGGTAGATATGAAGATATAGAACTGAGGGGGATGGGATGGAGAAGGGTAGGAATGGAAAGGAATTGGTATGGAGACAGATGAAAATGGGTAGGAATGGAGGAGAGTATAGAGAGAGGAGGGGGAGGATGGAGAAGAATAAATATGTAGGTATGGACAGGGAGAAGATAGAGAGTGGTGGATGGAGGAGAGGATACAGAAGAGTGGGGATCAAAGAGAGGTTTATATAATATAAAGATGTTCCTGGCAGATGTTTATGGTGTGGTGACAAATCTTCAAACTGTCACACGAATTGTCTATATGTTCAACCATGAAGCCTTTGTGGTCTAGTGGTTATGATGCTCGCCTTGTCAGCGAGAGGTCGCAGGTTCGAATCCCGTCGGAGGCATTTTATTACACAATGAATTTTATAGGACTTTATTCGTTGAAAAGCTACAGGGTAGTCTACGATGTTCCATCATGTCCTTATTTAAACACTGTATATGTGCCTTTGATGATTTATATTATATTTATTCAACAGTGTTAACGGCTAACTCCCTTCAATACTATATGTTACCGTAAGTTTTTACTGCAGGTGAAGGAGGATTATATCACATTTGGCGGCAATATAATCAAGTTCAATCTAAGAATACTCTATCATAAAGCCCATAAAACCCTTATATGGGCATGATGATTATCATATGACACCCAAATCATAGGTATCTGTCAAATAAAACCTGATACTGCAGACAGACCATATATAATTCCTCCCCTGTCTCTTCCATCATATTCTCTTATGATTGTTAATCAAACTTTAAATTCAACATTTTGATTCATATGAAGTGAACCGAATTTAAAACACACTAAGTAAATTCCGCTGGGAGTTTAATATGACAAAGATTTTTAGTATCCATCATGTTATACAGACTGCAGCCTCAAAGTCTACTAACATTTAACTTCACTATAATATACAACATGATGTGTCATTGATATTGTAACATAAGAAAATGATAAATGGTAAAAACCCAAAACAATCAAACATCAAAAGTATTTAGCGATATCAAGTTTCACGAAACATTAGCCTACAACTTAGCGCTTTGCCTGATAGAAAACAAACTTAAGCTTGCCATACTCAAGAGGAAACAGCTTAGCAAATATTCATGAGAAGATGTTTTTGTTTTACTGCACATGGTGCTACTAAAAAATTGACATTGTAACATAACAGGGCAAGTACTTAAAGTAAGTTAATACAACATTCAATCTTTCTGGAATGTCAAACTTAACAACTGACCAATCAAAGCACAACCAGGAATATGCGGTGTGGTTTAACCTTTAACATCCTCCTCCCCCCCCACCCCAACCCAATTTCAGAACTTCCAGATAAACCACTGGAATTATCCTCTTGAGGCAAAACATATCAAGACACATGACAGAAATTTATTTTCACAGCCACAAAAGGTAAGATCCTTAAACAGATGAGCAAATGGTCGCGAGTGGATGCATGCTTGTGTGTTACTAAATAGTACAAATGCTATTTTTGTGATCAGGAGATATTTGGTTTTGGATATTAAAAAGTAGAATTAATCATTCCTTAGGGACAGCATTTTCATGATTAGTGAGGATGCACACAACCTCTAACCTTTGGTCAAATTTGAGTTATGGCCCATAAGAAATTACTCTTTGTTTATTTTTGCTTTGTATTGTGTTCCTTTTAGCTAAAACATTTTAAAAACTTCCAAATGAAAATATTCAACCCAATAATGTTATTTCTTCCATAATTTTTTTTCTTTTTTCTTTTTTAAAAAATCTATTTAGGCACACAACACATGTACCAAAAATTGTCAATAGCAAATACTGTAGGCCTATATCACTGTACTTTTAGGTGACAACGAAGAGTATAGAACTACAAGAGGTCCGACTATCAGGGTTTCGTTGGAACGCAATCCTATTTCAAAAAGTACTATCAAATACTAGAGGGCATCCTTCAAAAGGCGAGCTTCGAACTCTATCTGAATTCTAATACGGCACTCCTTGTTTTGTGGTAGTCCTTTTCTTAACATTTTATTTATTTATTTATTTGAACATACACCTTTGAATCGGTGGCACTCAATATCAATTGGTGCGTTCGTACAAACAAAAAACAAAAAAAAGGGGGAAAATTAACAAACAAAATGAATAACAATCGACTGTAAATAATATTACAAAATTAAAGAAAGGTAGAAAAATAACATATGAAATTAGATGAGATAACATTTCACTTCGCATTTCATACTCAGAAATATTTACA